TTGTCTGTGTCACGTCATCATGAATTTAACACGAGAAAATTTTCGTGCAATGATTTTTTATGACTTTCGATGTCATTTAAGTCAACAAGAAAGTTATGATAGACTACGATTGGCCTTTCACGATGAAGCCCCATCTCGTGCGACTGTTTACAACTGGTTTAATGAGTTTAAACGTGGTCGCACTAATCTCACTGATGATTTACGTGAGGGACGGCCTTCTACGGCGACGACTGAAGATAACATCTGTGTTGTGCGGCGTATGATAGAGACTGACAAAAGAGTGACCTATCAACAGATTCGGACAAGCTTAGGCATCGGTATGAGTCAAGTGCACAAAATCCTCCACGAACATTTAGCGGTCAGGAAGCTTTGCGCCCGGTGGATACCTCATAATTTGACTGAGGCTCAAAAACTCCATCGTGTGGATTGGTGTCGTAAAATGATTGAAAGATTTAACGGAGGTGACTCAAATGCTGTGTTCGACATACTAACAGGTGACGAAAGCTGGATTTACTGTTATGATCCTAAAACCAAAAGACAATCTGCTCAGTGGGTGTTTCCTTTCGAGGAGTTGCCAACTAAAGTGAAGAGAGATCGAAGTGCGGGAAAAAAAATGGTGGCCTCGTTCTTTGGAAGGATAGGTCATTTTGCAACAATTGTGTTAGAGGATCAAAAAACAGTTTCTGCAGAATGGTACACTACCAATTGTTTGCCACTTGTCTTGGAAAAAGTTCGAGAGAAACGACCTCGCAGTAGGATCCTCCTTCACCACGACAACGCCTCGTCGCACACCGCCAAGCGAACGATCGACTATTTGGCGACATCAAACGTTGAATTACTGGGTCACCCGCCGTATAGCCCCGACCTCGCGCCTTGTGATTTTTATTTATTTCCAAAAATTAAAGAAAAACTTAAAGGAAAGCGGTTTATGAATGCTGAAGAAGCGGTGGCTGCGTATCGCGATGCCATTGAAGAGACCCCTAAGGACGAGTGGGCAAAGTGCTTTTCCCAGTGGTTCCATCGCATGCAGCGGTGTATTGACGTGAATGGACAATATTTTGAAAAGATATAATAAAACTAATAACTGGCTAATGTAATCAGTTTTTGATTTTCTAAGAACTTTCAGTTTGACCCTCGTATGTAACGTATACAACTGTATACTAAATGTATACAACATTTATATTTAGTGAAAAGCGGTTTATTATTACAATCAAACACTCTGTAACGGTTTATATTTTATTAAACATATACATTTATTTTTAAAATAATTACTATAAAACTTTGTGTCTGAAACTTGACAAACCAATAAAAGACGGTCTTGACAACATGTCTTGCTCGAAGCTATTGTTCTCCGCGTCGCAGGCGCAATCCAGTTTTATGAAAGGTACAAAACCCGAGAATGCGCTCCTTGTGATATATTTCAACCGAAGGCAGCGTAACATTAACATGGAGCGTAACATCCTTAATATTCTTTCGCGGCCGCTGTAGTCGCGAGCGTAAAATTTACGTTCTAATAATTACATATGTTTCTTTAATTAATGTATTCGAAGTGATATTCCCGTATTGAATAAGTGTTGCATATTTTCTAACCAATTTAGCTGTTTTTTTGTCTAAATTTTTATATTGTGTTCCTCCTCCTCCTTAGCAATATATTGTATCTTTATGTAATTTCTTTATATTAACGGGCGTGTTTTAGTTTCATTGAACACCTTACAAATTATTTGTTAGCTGGTAAAATCTAGAATGATCATTTGGGTGTGGCATTTCAAAATACCCACTTGTTTCTTTTATTTAACGAGAAATGCACACCACTTTTCTGTGCTTAATTATCTTGCCTGTTTGTCTGCTTCATCACTGATCACCCATGGCGTTATTCCATCTGTTCCTGCTTCTTACCTCGCACCGCCTGAAGACCAGTGATGTCGCAGCCAACCTAATGGCCGTGACAATTTTTGAAATTTCATTTAGGGTTCCTTCCCGCCCCTGAGAAGCTTCATAATCAACTAATTACGCCAGATGCATATATTATTTTATTAAAGTAAGCATAGAAAAAATGTAATTTACCATCTAATTTGGTGTCTCGAAACCGCATTTGAAACAAGTCTTTAAAAATACATATTAAGCCAAAACTTGACTAGAGGCTCCTTGAAATATTTGCCATATTTTGTTTGTGAATATATACAAAGAAAATGTAACGTAACATCGGCTCTTTGAATATTTGCGAATCATTTATATCTGACGAGGGTTGGTGTAATTATTATATGGCGTGTGAATTCATATGATAAAAATGTTCACTCAACGTTAAAAGTTCACTCAACGTTAAAAGTTTAAGGGACGGGCGCTGTTTGTAATAATAATTATCATTTTTATTTTTCATATTTTTTTATGTTATTTACAATATGTATTCTGTATGTACTGAATACGTTAACTTTTATATAGGCTTAGAAATGGAATCAAATAGTAACGATCCAATTGCTTGGCAATCTATCTAAGTCGTAAAAGTTGAGTGACGAAATGACTTTACGTATGTACATTGGTGGATTTACCCATGTGCCGCCAGTCGACTATTAAATTTTACTCCGAACAACCATGTTTACCACCTTTACTTCAGTCCATAATCTTACTTATATCACCAATTCCCAATTACTGATAATTTTTTTACCATAATGATTATTTTTATGACCCGTTTAGGTAAATTACTCAAAAAATACTTTTTGGATTTACTTCAGACTTAACTAATAAAACTTTTATTATGTAGGTATGTATATGACACTCATTACGGCTGCCAATAAGGTGCAATTGCAAATATTGTATAAAGACTTGTGCATGAATGGTTATGTAGCATTATCTATAAAAAATATCACGCTTATTTTATGGGTGCTCACCTCAAAGATCTTTTTTATTCTGTTTTTTGGTATTTGTAATTACTTACCAAGGCAACAGAAATCCATAATCTAGCTCAATTTATGAGATATAGCCTGGTGATATACATACATTTTTAGTAATGGGGTCCCGTTTTCGCCTTTTGAGTATCGTTAAAAAATGAGTGGATATTATATTACAAAAGCTCGTACAAGAGTTGATACTTCAGTAGGTGAAAGTACCGTATCTATCTATAGCCGAGTAGAATCTATTACTTAAGCAAAATTTTATACAAATAAACAAGAATTTGAATGACCTAAGAACCATTAAATGTAAGAATACTATATTTATAGTAATTAACGATTTTTATTTTATTAAAATCTCGTCCTTTTCTCATTGGTTAAAGATATTGACTTTATTTATGCCATTTTCTCAAGTAATTACTTCTCTCGACTATAGATACTAGAGTAAGAGAATATTTATTACTCAGTAGTAACTACTTAAAAACTAGGTGACAGCTGTTGAATTATAGCACATTTTTGTTGCGAGCTCTCAGTCTATTTTAAACATTGTTTAAAATTTCAAGAAACTGTTGTAAGCTTCTACACCCAAAGTTATCATTCCAAGAATTTCGGTAGGTTAAAACAATGTTTATATTATCAAGAAAACTTTCTAATTTTCAACTTTTATTTGGCTTTCACTTTTAATACACTATTGTTTAGGCTGATAAACGGCGCTATAAATAAAAATATGTATTGATTGAACCTATTTATAGGAAAGTCAATGGTTGTGCTGAACGAACTATTTGACCTTTTAAATGTCGCGACATTTTGATTGCTACATTGTCGACACATCGTAATAAATGAATTGTTGTCATCAGATTTGGTATTTCGCTGGTTACTTAAATCGTAAGTTTATTAATTGGATTCATTAGATTTAGTAGGTATTTATTGATTATATCTTTCCTATTTCGTTTCCAAGTAAAATTTTCTTTGAACAATGTTTATTATACAATATTTACCTTTATTAAACTACAAGTATACTGTGATAATACAGTAAACAATTTTCGTCTTTTTTATAAAACTTACTCAAAGGTTTTATTTCTAAGTAAATGAAGCGTTTCTAAGAGTAGAATAATGTATTGATGTTGTAATTATTTACTCTGTATAAGACTTTATTAATATTCTGAGAATTCGTTATAGAATATCACATACATATCGCTACTTTGGAAGAATAGCGTATTATTACCTACAACAACATTTTACGGCGTGGCGCTACCGAAAGACTGTATCCTATTGGCCAATTTTGGGCGCCATTTTTCAAAGATAGCGTTGTATCGCCAGATGCAACTTGCCTTTAAAAGTGAACATTCGGTTTGTTTTCTGGAATATAATCATATTATACAATAATACTGATTTTTAGTGCGCATTTATCTAGAACACTGCATTATTTCGAGATGTGACACAATTGTTTAAAAGAATCTGCAAGAATTTTTAAACACCTCTCATAAAAAAAGTGTCATTTACGATTACTATGTTGTTCTTCAAAAGGTAAGTAGAACTCAAATGTATTAAAATTAGATATTACTGTTTATAATAAAAAATACGGCCGATAGTATTTGTACATTTAAAATTAAAACGTTTTTCTAGATAAATTATTTGGTGATTGTAATACTATTTTTCGTAATAAGACTTTATCTGTTAAACAATTTGTCGTATTACTGTACTTGACACAGTATTTCAGATAAAAAGCAACTCGAAAACGCATTTGTTTTTAATGTCAGATACCTATCTAACTAATCGTAATGAGCTTACAGAACCTAATATTTTAGAAGGTATGGGTAGTATTCTTTTTACCTATCGGCTCTTTATAAGTAAGTAATTTAGTTAGCTAATTACTAGTTAGCTACATTCTAGGTATATAGATTCTACTACTACGGTCCTTATAAAGAGTAGGTATTCTAGGTAGCTAGATGCTAGGAAGGTACGTAGATTTAGGTATGTTCCTAAAATCTAGGTCCGTTATTATCTACGATAGGGAATCAGAATCGAATAATTGTCTGAAAGTGCGGGTATAACCTGCTTTTTCTAACTTTTACTTCTTTTTTTATTTTAGTGGCAAACCAACGGGAACTACAGATGTTCCGGAAAATCAATGCCTCGTTGAGTATCAAAGGAATAAACGAAGTGGTACGTACTTCTACATGAAGTGTAGGTAGTTGAATTTTTTAAGTCTATAATAATAATATTATCAATTACTATCGGGAAGAATACTATTTAAAACTTTTTTTATTCATCTTTCGCTGTATATTTTTTCAAGTTTTGTTTATGTTACAGGAAAATCAAGCAGATAACAGAATGGGTCAAATGAAACGCATGATACTATCTCCTTTACCAACTGAAAACAACAAACTTCTATATGCAGAAGATCCGCTAACCCAGCAAGTTCAAGACTATTGTTCGGATGACAGCGTTAAGAACTCGGATTACGTAAATACTGATGACTATTATTCCGATTCTAATCATAGTAACTTAAATAGTAAGAAACGCGCAAAACTATTTAAAAGAAATGAGTTTGCTGAAAACATCGATCCCATGATTTCAGTTGCGACTAGAAAGTCAAGTTCAAGTCAAATTAGTACGCCTAATTCTCACCAAAAAAATTGATTATTTAAACAAGCCCAAACCAGGCCCTTCAAATATATCGTAAAAACCACCGAGTAGTTCATCTAGTTTAAGCTATTCCCCGGACTCTTCTGATAGTTCATCATCGTCTAGCAATTCTCCAGAATGTTGATATCCCGAAAATTAATAGTCGTTACTGCAAAGCAGACACCAAGCGAACATACATTGAAGGCGGCAAGACTGTAACTGATTTACATAGAGACTATGTTGCTGAATGTAAAAGTAAAGGTTTACCTTTTGGTAATTATCTAGCATATTACAATATATTTTGTTCCGAATACAAAATGGCATTCTTCAAACCTAAAAAAGAATGCGAAAACTGTACAAATTATGCTAATGCGACTGAAGAAGACAAAAAAATGAAACATGATTATGAACTTCACCTAAAAGAAAAACAACTAGCAAGGGATCAAAAAGATGAGGACAAAAACATATACTCCGGACAATTGTATAGTATCCGTTTATGATCTACCAGCTGCGGTGCTTTGTCCTAAAGGTGATACGTCGACATTTTATTACCTATCCAAGTTGAACTGCTATAATATTACTATTTATGATATTAAAACCAAAGATGTTAACTGTTACGTATAGCACGAAGGTGAAACTAAACGTGGAGCTAATGAAATTGGTAACTGTGGACTAAAATACATTGAAAGCTTGGAAGAAACCGCCAAAAAACTTGATTTAAAATTGGACTTGATATTTCACTCAGATAATTGCTGCAGGCAGCAGAAACATCATTATTTGATCGCAGTATACATATTTTCTGTGCAAAACCATGATTTATTTATTCAATTTGTAATAAATTCCTCCTCATAAAGGGTCTTACGCAAAATGAGGGTGATAATGTTCACGCTGTTATAGAGCGTAAAATCCAAAAAAGCCTCAAATCTGGTGCGATCTATATACCTGATCAATACACACAGATAATTCGAAGTGCGAAGAAGATTGGTATTATACCCCCTTTATAGTATATAAACTGACCTAAGCCGATTTTTATGATGTCAAAAGTTTAGCAACTGCTATATGTAAGAATTTTTCTAAAAATGCAAACAAGCAATCAGTAAATCGTACTGATATAAAAAATTTGAAAGTTGATCCAGACAACACTGAAAATTATGCCTTCTTCTACAAAACATCATACGAAGAGGAACATTTTAATGAAATTATTGTTGATAAGATAGGAAGAAATAATATAGTTTTGACACAAGCATACAAAAATAAGATGGAAGTGTGTGAAAAGAAGAAACGAGGATTATTAAGTTTACTACAAAATAATACAATTCCAAAATCTTACTCATTATTTAATATATACTTACACGATATTAATAATATGACATGTTGAAAGATTTTTTTTGTCGTATTAGTAATGTAAAACTTGTGTACTGATTATTATGATCTCAAAGTATTATACTTAGATATTGAGATAGCTTTATTAAAAAACTTTCAAAATAGAGACTGATATAAATGTCTGTATTGTGCTTAGAATTTATAAAATTCTTCTAATTTTGAAGGTGGTAAAAATTCCATTGTTTAATTTTGAGCTTTTTTGAATTTTTATGTTTTGTTTCCAGAATTTATAAGATTCTATGCTTCTTAATAAGCGTTAGCTATTTTTAAAGATGTTAAACTTTCTCATTTCTCTGTTATTTTCCTTAGTTAAGTGTGCTTGTTACTTGTCGTAAATCCAGTTATTACTTTATTTTTCATAAAGCATGTTATATCACACAGTAAGCATTTTTGTAAAAGAACGACCGAATTGGTACTGTAACACTGTTGATTTAAAATAGATAATACTAAGATGTCACAACTCAAAATGTATCAGTATCACTGAGAAAAACATAATGAATATTTTGGATTATTTCTAAAAACAACACTGTTATAAAAAATATACTTCTTTTTTCTAGTTTTTTTTTTTGCGATGAGCCAGTAATATTCATAAGTTTGTCTGTGTTATTTTGTTATAAGTCTGAGACCTATTGGTCATTTTCAATATTTAGTTCAAATTAAGTATTAGTTTATTAAAAACATTTAATAAACATAAACTGCAATATATTTTTGGAGTTTAATTAAAATTTCATAAACATTTGCGCAATAAATAAAAAAATACTGAAAAATTGACTCAATTTGAGTTACGACAGTATTCTTTCAAAGCAGCGATATATTAAAATTTCCGTTCTTAAATATCCTGTTTTCCTCGTAATTTTTGTGTGATAATTTTCTATTATTAAATTTAACGAGCCCTCATCTCAATAAACTCCATACATTTTTATGTATGGTAGTATTATAATGAAATGTCTCCGTTATTGGTCTGGTCATCTAATGCAAACGATGCACAATCTGCCAGAGCAAAGTTGTCTGGAAAAAAATACTAAAATCGTCAAATTAAATAAATATGAAATTGATTTCTATATGGTTCTAATATACATTTTTATTGTGTTATCATCTAATAAGACGGCTCGCTTTTAGACTTACGTCACTTTGAAGACACGATTTCTGGAAAATACTCAATAAAACACAGTTTATAGCGAAAGAAACATATTACAATAATTCGCTAACCTTTTAGTCGAAAACAAAAACTAAAACGAGCACGTTCTTTATTGGCTGTAATCTCGTTATATCCAAAAGACAAAATTATTATGTTATTAGACATGAATGATTCATGAATTATATCTAATAGTTTTTACCGTAACACATTAATGATTAGTGGGAATTCATTGAACTAATAAACGAGCTGCTAATAATGAATTAATAACCAGGTAAAACAGATCATTTCTCACAAAAATTACATAAATATGTATTCTTGCAATAGATCATTCTAAGAGTTTACAGCTTAGCTATATAGATCCCGCCAACTTAAGGTTAGCCGTGATCCATTCAAGACAAAAGTAAGAAAAAAATCCGAAAATAGTATTCATCAGTGTATTATTATCACCATTCAAAATCGCAATTATATAATCCATGGTTTCACGTTTTTATATTGTGAATTTAACGAACAACGGGTAAAAATTTAAAGGTGGGAAGATGTCATATCTATCTATTTATTGATATTAATAATTTCTATTGAACTACTTATTAAATAACCTTAAATCACATATCTTCCTTGAAGGTACATAGATTATATAAACAACATATAACATAGATACATTACAATCAGTTTGAATTGGTTTAGTTGTAAAACTTTTTAAGGTGATAATGAATTTTTTCTTTTCATTTCGGGAATTGCCTATGCGTATTTACCAATCCCATCCATAAACTTAATAACACTGGCTTCACTTCAATTTTAGCGATCTATTTGTTATTATTTTTGTTTAAATTATTAGAAACGAAACGGTGATTTCGGCACGAATGACGTTTGTATAGATGTTGCTAGCTGGATGGGTGCTGTGTCGCCAACACGTTAATCTTTTAACATTTCAACTCTTAAATTGTGTGCTGGCATCCCAGTGTATTGGAAATGGCCTACATAGTAACGAATATAAATCTCGAGGATGTAACATCGCAATATAATTTTACGTATGTTTCTTTCTTCGCACATTATTTTCACTCAAATTTCTTGTGAAAGGGAAAAACGTTTTCACTTCGCTATTTTTTGTTATTGAATTATGCTGTTCGGAAGTGACAAGTACAAGATGATGATGTAGCATCCTCAACAAAGAGATGTGTACAAATATGTCACAAGTGTAGACTTCAGAAGTATCTCCTTTTAACCTGTGCGTCAACCACGATGTTGACGACAGTTTCACCAACCCTTTTAGCTAAGTAACCGATTGGCAAAAAGACTTAATATTTATTCGTAATGTCTGTCGTTCGTCCGTATGTCCCAGCCATTTTATTCAGATGTTCAAACTTGGAAGGTAGGTATGCAGATTAAAATCGCAAAGGCAATATGGCATAATCAATATTATAAACTAATTGGAAATAAAGTTATTATTATTATTTTACGAACCACTTTACAATTTTTATAGAGAGCTAAAAAATCCTTATAGAAGATAACTAAAAATATGGAAAAAGAAATCAGCAAACACGTGTTTAAAAAATAATTTGGCGTTCTAGTATTGCTTCATGATAAGTCATAGCGTTAATAATTATGGCGCGTATATTCTTCATTCTTTTATTTATCTTTAAAATACATTACGCGATTCCAGCCGTCGAGTACACACAATTTAACCCGTAAGCGACCTTCGGGAATATGCTTTTCACCGCACAAATTCATCCTTTAAAAACATTTTTTTTTCTGCTCATTAAAACAGCAGACTGAAAATACTGTGTAAATACGCGCGAGGTGATATTTAACAATTTCACAATAAAATTACACTTAGAAAAAGGTCATTAAGGAAAACTTCGAATAATTTAATAAAAGTAAGCCAGGTATTTTTTATTGAAGTAAAAAAAGCAAAAATTTATAAAAAAGGAGTTCAAATATCAAAAGAAAAATGTCAATATAGCATTATGAATGCAAAATGTACAGATCTCAAATAAAATTGCCAAAGGACTCGTCATTGTAGAGGTATTACGGAAATATCAAAAAAAAAGATGACGCAACATCCGTATCCCAGTTAATTTGTCTCTTTGTAGCTAATTTGTATATTTTTGATACTTTTATTTCGCACAATATATTCCATCGTTCATCTTTATTTGTCTTATTGACAGATCTCGCGAAGAATATTTTTATAATATAGTATGATTGTTCGAATAGGTTTCTTCTAAATTATTGGACCACTTACATGTATAAAAATTTATTTCTGTGTTTGGACCGATTTTAAAAATTCTTTTACCGAAGGGAAGCCTCATCATACGCTGGTGACTTATGTTACATAGATTACACGAGCGAAGTCACGCGAAACAACTAAATTTAATCAAGAAACATACTTACACAGAGAGAAAGTTTTCCGATTTTGAAGTTCTCTATAACGAAAGTAAATGAAATCAAAGATATTCATTGTGCTTCAAATCAGTTCAATAACTTGTGTTTATTCATTTATTATTAAAAAACATTTATTTTTCTCAGTAACATAAATCGATATTCGCCTTATTATAGATTCGTAGAAACCTTTTATGTAATTTTTTGTAATGTTATCATTTTCGCTGAAATGTAAATAATACCCTTAGAAGTTTTCTTCTAAAAATATAATTTGAAGCGACATGGGATCAAGTTGAGATATTGTTAAAGGCCGGAAGACCCGGGTTTGGTTACTCTTGTAAGTATGAAAATAAAGAATTCTCCGTGATCGAGCTCCTTGTACCTCGATTAGAGAGTGTCGATGTTTCTAAGATCCGGGGTTTATTTCCCTATCGAGTTAATGTAGAAAACAATGACATTGTCTCTTGGTCTGTGTATTGTGGTAATTTCTTTGTGTCAGTTTAGCTACTAATTTGAGATCTGACTAATGTATCAAAATTTTTTTATGGTGAAGGTAAAATACCGTCAGATAATATTCGTTAATGAGTATCTCTCAAACACTGC